AACTTATACAAATTAAGGAAAATTACGTGGTCAACGGCGACCACTGTATTTCGACAGCTTTGTCTTCTGGTTGACTGCAGTGCGCCTCAAAACGCCCATAGAGCGTTCTTACGCAATTGCGTTTGTGTTTGATTGGGTGGTTGTTGTCGTCTTTAGGCCACCACAATCTCTGCGATAGACGAGGACATCAAGAAAGGCCAGCTGATTGTTCTTTTCCTCCTCCATCGTAAATTGGATGTCCGGGAAAATGCTGTTGAGATGTTCCTTGAAAGTGAGCACCTGATCCCTTTCAATGACGATGGAGGCGTCATCCACATACCTCGCCCAGACTTTCTGTCTGAGGTATTGGGACACCAGCGACTCCAATCGTCGAAGGACTGTCTCGGCTATGCGTCCCGAAATCGTGAACCCATTGGTGTCCCCTTCACCTGCTCGTAGATTATTCCGTCAATACAAGCGAACATGCGTGTTCCAGGAAGCAAATGAGAAGAAGAAGACTCGATCGCTGGGACAATTTGTTTTTTCGCCTGACGTATCGACATCCTTCGCGGATTCATCATCAGAGACATGAGTAGCAGAAATAGGTAAAGCATGCACAGAAGTTTGTAGTAGTGACGGTACCCTATAAGTACTGCAAACTTCTGTGCATGCTTCACCTGTTTCTGCTACTCATGTCTCTGATGATGAATCCGCGATGGATGTCGAAACGTCAGGCGAATAAACATATTGCCCCAGCGATCGAGTCTTCTGCTTCTCAATTATTACTTCAAACGTGAAGTACATCTTGAGACAGAACTTCAGGAGCTGTAGGATTCGAGCATATCCGAGGCGAGTCTCCGTCTCATCGTATCTGCTTCGTAGGAGTAGTTTGGCGGCCTCGACCGCCAGATCCTGAGGAACATAATTAAAAAATGACGTGGTATCGAAGGAAACCGTGATATCACTTGGCAGGTGATTTACCCGTTTAAGTTTTTCCAAGAATTGTGTTGGTGAGCGGACAGTGGTCTCCGAATCAGCTGTCAGAAATTTGAGGCGCTGAAACAGCCACTTTGCCAGTCCGTACATTGGAGTGCCTTTCAATGATACGATGGGTCCAAGAGGAGCGCCCTTTCTATGCACTAACACGAGAGAACCAGATGTCCGTACAATCATCACGCCAGAGTCCACCACGCGTGATTAAATTTCAGCAAGTCAGAGCTCGCATGCCGGTCAACAAGCTATCAACGCACAAGGGGGCAATTATCGTTAAGTGTCTTTATTTGTTTGCGGTAATGACTATGTTCTATAAATTGGTATATTGCGCAGACTGCAAAATTTATGGAATCCATAACATTTCGGGAGCGCTCATCAGTTGCAGCCACTTCAATGCGTTAGTGGATTCCACACGAGCGGTAAAGTTGGGCGGTTAATATCGACCCAAGTGTGATTTAATTCATGGTGCGGGGTAAGGCGTGTGTAACTGAGCGGTTAGAGCGTTGGCTTCCGGTAATGGTCTTCTCTAATACGCGGGTTCAAATCCCGCCGAACGCCTCGAGTTTGTTCTCAATTGGGTCAACTCAAATTATGCAAGTCTGCCAAACCTCCTAATAAAGAAATAGAATTAGTACAGAGAGGTCACAGGTCATAGTCACCAAGGCTACTTGGCAAAGTAAGGAGGTTAAAACAAGGTGGAAGCAGAAACAGAGGAAAATGAGTTTCAGGAAAAAATAGCAGGGGACTTTGTAAATCTGGCAGCCGGTTGTTACCAAGA